CTATTTTCAGGCGCTGCGTAATATCATTGCGCCTGCTGCAGTTTTAAATAGGAAAAATATAGAAACTCTTTGGTCATTTTTGAGCGAGATGCTAACGGTCTAATCAGATGCAAGGATCTATGCTAAGCTACAGCTAAAAGGGCTACCGCCAGACCCGGAGATCGGCTGAATGGATTCGAAAACGGTAAATCTCAACTGTTTAACTCTAGGGGAGTTGGAAAATGAGGGGAGTTGTGTTCCTTCAAATGTCAATGCTAGTACATCAAATGTAATTATACTGATTTTTTTTGTTTTTACAAATAATTTTAAAAGAAAAATTAACCATACAGTTTTTATGGGGTACACAAATTTTTCACAGCACTGAAAATAATCATTCTAAAAATGAAGGGGACAAAAAAAAAAGCCTTGGAAAAGAAAGAATGAATTAAAACAGTAAATTGTTGAAAATAAAAAAATAAATAGTGCAAAAAATTAATAAATATAAAAATATGCTGTATAAAATCTATGGTGTGTGTATGTATGTGTGTATATATATATATATACATACACACACACACACATAAACATACACATGATGAGATTGTATGTTTTTTTTCATGGGATCTACTAAGTTTTTTACAGCACTAAAAGTTATCGTTCTTGCAATTAAAAAACAAAACAAAAGCTTGGAAGAATCTGCTAGAAAGGGATAAAAAAAAAAAAGTAAACCGTTGTAAATAAAAGCAGTAAATTCAATTCAAATTGTTGAAGATTGAAGAAAATTGAACATTTCATGTAAAATTAAAAATACAAAAAAGGTAATATAAAAAGATGCTGCTAAAAAAATATATTTCAATTGTGCAGCTGGTGAAAACATCGGCAGAGCAAGCACAAATCTGAGTGACCGATGAGCAGAAAACAAATTCTTACAGTTTAACCCTGTAAGTGTTTGCCAACACATCTGAGAGTTTCACTTTGTGTACGTGTGTCTGGAGGTAGCCTATTGAGATCCATGTGTGTAATAGAGCCCCATGTTTGGCGAGTACATAGTTGGAGCTTGTGTGTCACTAGTTACTGAGCTCCTTCTCTCCTGCTGAATCAAGCAGTCGGACAGCTCACCTGTACAGCATCAAACGCAAACATGTCGGCGGACACACACATCAAACACACTTCCTCCACGTCTCCTATTTGTCAGAGAGTTGCGGAATGTGTTCTGCGGGTGACAGCGGTACGGGTGGACAGAAGCAGGAGGAAGAGCAGGGGACGTCCTCCTTGAAGAGAAGGGAATGAGAAAACGGACACACCTGAGCAAACAGAGCCGTTTACCTCATGCTGAAGGCTTGTGTGTGACTGCATCGAACCTGCCTGTGAGAACACACCACATAGGTGCCATGACACACGCCCGTGGACCCGGCTCAAACACACTCATGACCGTGCTAAAGTGGAAGTGTAGTCAGAGTGCCAGCATCACTAAGTAACAGGAAAGAATTTCCATCATGTTAAAAAGATGAGAAACACCGCAGAGGAGGTTCAGGTGACAGCCAGATGATCCATGCGGCAAACTCACGGTTAGCTCATCTCAAACAGGACGGTCCTATGGAAACAGACACTACATTACTGACCTTTCAGATCTGGCCAACTAGAGTGAGGCTCAATGAAAAGTTTGAGGAACTCTGAAACTTTGAAAAGTCTGAGGAACTCTAAGTTCACTTGGTCCTGAGCCTTCACCGCAGAAGCTCTGGATCTGATACGGAAATTTTCCAGAACAGCATGGCAAATTCCCATTAGAGTGCCTCAAGAATGAGTCAGAAAACCTGGAAACTAGTTTCCACATTAGAGTGCCTCAAGAATGAGTCAGAAAACCTGGAAACTAGTTACCATTTTTGAACTTCCCTTTCCATTGTCCTGAAGTCAATGGGTTTTTTGAATGGGTTCTTGGTTAAATGCCTGAAACAAGGTCTGTTGTTAACACACGCTCAAGATATCTTCACAACATAAAACGCATTAGTAATACCCCACTCATGATTTTTTTACAAATATTAAAAAAGGCAGTTGGACAAGTGGATAAACGAGACATCAGAGGTTGACAGTGAAAGTAAACTCCATCACGCAAAGCAGAAAACTTATCTACTTACTAGTCCACTTTCACAGCATTGTTGTGTTTATACTCACACTGTTGTTAACTACCTTCCAACTTGCAGACTAAAAAAAAAAAAAAAAAAAATTGTTAAAACTGTTGTTGGAAGCTTAGTGGTGGTGATGCTGAAGTTATGCAATTATGGTGTAGTTTATTTTGTAGTTCACTTTATGGCCTAACATTAGCTTGTTACTTCTGGTGATTGTATTTATGCTTCAAAATGTAAAATAATTGTGTTCATTTGAATTTGCAAAAGTGGAATAAGTGGGTGGCTCCAGAGCCCTACTATGTGGTTTCCATGGTGTTTGGGGTTATTAACTGTCCTACCTCCAAGCCTAAGATATTCTTGCTCCTAGATATGGTTCAGGTCTCTTTTTCAAAGTACAAAGCCACAACACATAATTACACAAGTATATGCAAATGCTGGTGCGAGGGTTTTGCCAACACACCACCAACATGCAGTCCGGTTGAGCATTTAACTTTGGCGTTGCAGTATTAAACCTGAAAGGTAACAAATAGCACTCTGTAAAAAAAAAAAAAAAGTAAACAGATATTTACTGTACCCTAATTACTGTTAGAACTCGTCACAGCAGTGCTGAGAATGCAACATGCACTTGCTATAAAGTAAACCAATTTTGTAACAATTAACAAAATTAAGCTTGCACTGACAGTATTCATATATTCAATATTTGTTTTTATATTTTTTTCAGGCCTAAGGAATATATACATATAAAATTAATTAATTAATAATACACACTTTAATTGGTCAGTCAAAAATTGTCAGTAAAAAAGTATAGTCTGACTTTCATTCTTACAATTTTTGCCAGATCAATTACAAAAATAAAATAAATAAAAAGAAAAGTAAATGATAAAAACAAAATTGATAACCCTAAATATGAGAAATAGTTATTAGCACCACTAATTACTTTAGGAAGAACCTAAGTTAATTATTAACTCAAATTAGATCAAATAAAGGTATTCTTTTTTTTTTATTATTATATTTAGTGACAAAATTACTGAAAATGCCTCTAAAAGAAGGGATTGTTTTGTATTACTCTAACTTTACTTTGCTAACTTCTGCTGCTTTTACAGCAATTTTGTCCCAAAAAGTACAGCTAGGTCAGAAACTGTCACACAGACTTTAAAACTACTAATGTGCCAACTAAGACATGGATCATCTATTAGCTTTAAACACACTACACATATCACACCTGCTTAAAACACACACCTAACACACACACGCACACATCAGAAGCTTTAATGTCACACGATACTCTCCGCATGCCTTTTCCAGTTACTCTCATTCACTCTCTCTGGTAAGGTCTTTAGCAGGTGTAAGCCTGCGACTGAAGCCCAGGTTCTCAAATCAATCATTTGAAAGTATTTAGAAATGCACACAGGAAAGTTGCTCAACTGCCTGCCTGACGCATAACACACAGCCCTGGGCTTAAGTGCTTTTCGGGGTGTGTGTGTCGACATCTATTTCACACTCGTCCTCATCTAAAAGCAGAAAAAGATGTTTCTGTGACCGATCACGTCACAAGCTGCCAGGACAGGAGAAAGAGGAGAGAAGAGAGGTGAAAGGTCAGACGCACTGATGGAGTTATACTCACACAAGCAGAAAAACACACAGGCACTGGGTCAGTCTATGCCACACTAGTCACTATGTTAGCTAGCAAACATTAATATTGAGATTATGTTAATGGAAAGGACGGTTTAGCATTAACCTGCAGATTAGACTGCACATGTCTTTCACAGAGTTTGTACTGATCAAAGTGAAATGTTGGCACACACAGTATGCTACCATTCAAAAAATTTAAAGTCACAATTTTTTTTTTCTTTTTTGAAAGAAATTAATACTTTTATTCAGCAAGGACACATTAAATTGATCAAAAGTGACAGTAAAGACACATGTAATGTTACAAAAGAGTGGATTACAATTCACTGGCACTGGTATATTGCAAAATTCATGATTTAGAAAAGTGGCATAAAATATATATGTAGGCATGAATGTTGCAATATACACTTTTTTTTTCTAAATGGTTCCATAAAGAACCTTTAACATCTGAAGAAGCTTTCTGTTTCACAAAAGGTTATTTGTGGTGAAAGAAGGTTCTTCAGATTATAAAAAGGTAAGAAAGAGATGGTTCTTTTAAAGATTCTTTGACTGAATGGTTCTTTGTGGAACCAAAAATGGTTCTTCAATACCATCGCTGTGAAGAACCTTTTAAGCAACTTTATTTTTAAGGGTGTACCAATGCCAGTGATGTTTCACCTTTCTAGAAACAAAAATTGATCCCTTATTGAATATGCTACTTTTAGCTATTTGAACTATTAAAAAGCTAAACATTAATGCAAATTTATTTAAAATAACCAGTTGGCTTTGGAGTGTTTTTCAATTACGTAAACATTGACTGCTTCAAAAAAAAAGTTATAATTACACGTTTAGCAGACATTTTTAATCAAAAACTATTTTAAATGTATATTTTAAGACTGAATTTGCTAAATGTGACCCTGGACCACAAAACCAGTCTTAAGTTGCACGGGTGTATTTGTAGCAATAGCCAAAAGTACATTATATGGGTCAAAATTATCGATTTTTCTTTTATGCCAAAAATTATTAGTATATTAAGGAATGATCATGTTCCATGAAGATATTTTGTAAATTTCCTTCTGTAAATACATAATTTTTGTCAATCAACTTTTGATTAGTAATATGAATTGCTAAGGACTTTATTTGGACAATTTTAAAGGCGATTTTCTCAGTATTTAGATTTTTTTGCACCCTCAGATTCCAGATTTTCAAATAGTTGTATCTCGACCAAAAAGCTTATTTATTCAGCTTTAATGTGATGTATAAATCTCAATTCCAAAAAAATGACACTTAAGGCTGGTTTTGTGGTCCAGGGTCACAAATTTGTGCAGTTTTAGCACCAACGCTCCCTACCTCGCACCGGGCCCCGTGTCAGCTAAGGACGGCCCTGCTACAATCTATTTCCTTTTGGTAAATCACAAAAATACAGTTCAGTAAGTGTATTTCGATTTATTAAACAAATTACTTTTGAGATGCTGCTTTTTATTGAATCGAAAATATTCAATTACTGAATTGTATTTATGCTGCCTCTAAACCAGTTTAACCAGTTTTTTTTTTTTTTTTTATGTATTCTTTTAGTATCACATGAATGGCATGGTAGACAAATAAGACTATGGTATAACCACTGCAGTATGGTTCTTCGTATCGGCTGAAAGAGTATGATTAATATATTTGAGAGTGGATTGACTCAATCTGTCCATTGTTCTGGGAAGCAGTCATGTCCTTTAGTTACCCATCAACCCTCAGTTCTGTGTCCCTCCTCTCCTCTGTTCACCTGTTCAAGCCTTATGTTTCTCTGTCACTTTCTCTTCTCTTTCGCTCTCTCCCTCCTTGCATTCCTCCTACAAAATCAATATCCTGCTGTAAAGTGCAGTGAGCCCCTGGGAGGAGGCTGCTGTTGTGGAGGGTGGTGGAAGTGGGGCGTCCTCCAGGGCTCTTCAACGGACACGGAGTCAAGGACAGTGTCCGGCCTAGACCTGCTGCCCCTCTCTCTCTTTCCTCTGCAGGAAGGATCAATAAGCGGGTGAGGCGTTAAATTTCAGCTAGCGGGAGCGTCACGCTCATTTGGCCCAGCTGAGTGATGGGGCATGCTTGCCCTGCTCGGAGCGTTTCAAGCTGAAAAGAACAGGAGCTGGGATCTTCCTACAATAAACAACTCAATAACATTTAGGCACACTGGTGTATGATGTTTTAAAAGCGTTCCTGTCAACCTGAGCTACAGAATGTGTTTCTGTGTGAGGGACTGTGCCGCAGACTCACAGCTGAAAATCCCAGCGTGACGCACTGATTACTTCGTTCTCAGTAGTTCAAACAATAAATCAGATCATTTTACCACTGCTGTCAGCTGTTCCCTGGCACTGTGATTTAAGACATGGGTATCGCTTCGGTTTTCTACAGCACAAACAGAGCCAT